TGGTGGTGGTGGTGAAATAGCAGTAAGCCTTTTCATCAACAGGAATGATAGCGTCAGAGAACGTCTATTCGCGTGCGTAAGACCTATATTTCTCGCTGGTTTTATCGCTGCAGTCAAAATCAATGAAAAAAAGCAGTCTCACCAGTCTTCTTTAGGTTAGCAGCATCTGAAGTGCAAAATCGAAAACAGGTGTAGAACAAACCATACAATACTCAACAACAGCTTTAAGTCGTTCCACGACTTAGGATTCAATAGAGAAGACAACGTATTTTGTATCCGCTTCTTAATTTGGACATGCTGAGCACCTAACTCCCTACTTGATACTACTTTGTATCTCATCACAAGGAAATATATATCGACATATTTTTTAAAGTAAGAAGAGCAGGTTTTGAACAAGCTGATGTTTCTCATTTGTCGGGAAATTCACAAAAGAATTTGAGAGACACCGTACCACGAGTTGATAAATCTCGGCATCTGTAATTTACTTCAAAAGTAGCTTCCACGTTTTAAACATTCTGAAATCATAATCATGGCTCAAAATCAGCTCCAAGAGGATGCGAACAATAAAAGTTGGTTTCCGGCCGTAAGATAACGTGTAGAACGAAAAGGTAACGTCACATGCTCATCAAATCGACCGATTGAATGCCGACTTCGTACCTAACCGTATTCAGTGTTTTTATATTCCAAGTATGGGGCTTTTGTACCATTTCTCTATAAAAATTTCATAATTACACGGATCGAGCATACATCAAGACTAACCTTAGATCTAAAACTTGCTCGCAGGGTTAAAAGAAGGTTGTCCCTAAACATGCCTTGCTCAGCCGTTGAATTCAGTGAAGTTACCGATCAGTTCTTTGCATCTAACTTGTACACAAAGACGAATACGATCAGTTATCAGTAAGTTGGTTTAGTGGAATCTAGTCGTCCGGCCAGAACCCTATGGATCCAACTTTATTCGGTGCGTTGTTTTTGTTATTGTTTTCTGCTGCTACTGGTGGTGGTCATGGTCGTGGTCAATATCTGAGGCCCAGATACAGGAACAAATAAACTATAAAATTCAACTCAGGAATTAGCTTTCTGGATTGAGAAGAACAGACCGAGTAGAGTCTGTGGACAGGAGAACCTGAGTAAAAAGACAGTCAGACAGGATCATTTCATACCGCGAGTGTTAAAGTGACAGCAAGCTCAGAAATGAAGAAAGTTATTCTCGGTTTAAGGAGTTTACGATCATCGATAAAAACCATTTGAATAAATTTTCAATTGCACCACGTGAGTATATAAGACACCACATATACATATGCATATTATTATGTACAAATTGATATATAGAAAGATAGAAGAGTAGATAGGTTCTGATTATACACACGAAAATACGAAATGGAGCTAGCTGCGAATTTGTTCATATGCCACTCATTGTGAATTCTTCATTTGGGAAGCAATTGAAGGCAGAATTAATATCTAAAAGTATCTTCGTTCAGTTTCTCGTGCATTTGTGCCATAATATGATATTATCTTCTTATGATTCATTGATTTTTCTAGTTTTTCAGTCATGGAGACCGGCGAATAGTGAACTGTCGCACACAGTTGTTGCGATCAACAACGAGCTCGTTTGTGTATGTATGTGTGTCGAGGTGAATGATAGTGAAAAAAATGTGGAACACATAAACTACCGGAAGTGAACGCAGTCGTTGCTGTAGCACTGTTCACAACGAACAGTCAATAAGTGGATCACATGACCCCAACTATAAAAATGATCAGTCAAGGTTTATCGATGAAATGAATAGTTTGAATGTCAGTAATCACTGGCGCGGTTTTAACAAGTGCAACAAGTTACGAAAAGTTCATTATTTCATGGCCGTATTAACTCACTGCGAGGGATATCTCGACAGTTTTATCAGGACTGCAATGAAATTAACCCTAACTTTCTCAATACAGCCTTACTTTTCCCACATCTTCGCTACTAATAATAGGGAAAAATATATTAGAACACCAATACATGAAAACGAAAACATTTAAGTGCGAACCGGTATACATAAACGTCTACAAATTTACAAGTGAATCTTAGCCAGTGAACAGCTCTGTTAAGTTTGAAGTAAATTTCGTCGAGTAGAGAGCAAATGGAGTATGAAATGAAAAGCGACGAAGCACGAAGTACAGTTATTTCGATCAGATTGGGTGCGAACACAAAGACCCAACTGGGGATCTAACCTGTGGCCTCATAAGAAGAACGCAAGCATACCACCCCTTTGACCACAGGGCAATCAAACAGACGCACTTTTATTTTCCTAATACACAGTATGGCATAATCCGTCTTTGCGAGCTTGTTGCAGGTACCACACCACACTCTTCCCCCCACTGGGTTATGACTCGGTTGTAGACAATAAAGCCCGATCTGATAATGTTGTGAAACCACTTGACCAAATACATTATATATTATTCATACTCTGCACTGCGCTTTTGGAGAGGTTTTCATCGTCACCGACTAATATTGAACATTATCCCCGACGTAAAGAGGAATCCAGTGACGCGCATTTTATTGATTGCAACAACTATCCTTCTGCAGAATTAAACTGCAAGCATTTTTATCTCAAACGGATATAAAGTTAATTGTCTGGAGGAAAAGTGATATCTGATAAGAAATTTAAGTGCCATCAAACCGTATGTATAAATATATTTTCTTTTTTCTTCATATTTGCTTCCTCTTCAAAGAATGTTTTGATAGATTGAATCTATTGCATCTTAAGACCACGGGTTACTGGTCACAGAGCTCCATACTGTGAATAGAAACTGAAGCAAATTTAAAAGTGCGAGTTTTACATTCATTTTTATGCTTAACCCATTGCCATCTTTAACTTCCAGTTGTCCAAGCTGCATTCAGGTTTCTTAAGACTTCGTTTTTACACATTGGAGAAAACACACCCGCCAGCAATGAACAAGGCCAGCCCTTCTATTCAGGGGATTTCATCTCACTGATCTGTAAAGGTTCATTAACTATTGCCTACCATGACCGAGCCTGGATCTAGCAGACTGCAATAAATCGTCTGTATCCAAATACCTGAGTTACAAATAGCTTTCTCGACCACATTGCTGTCGAAGCATCCTCAAGTGCGCGTTAGTGAGCGATGTATTCATAGAGTTTTATCAATTTCATCGATCCTCACCAGTTCCTGACCTTGTGGTGAACAATAATCGAATTCCATGGGAATTTTCCTGACAAACTCAAATGAAATAGTACGGATTGTGCTAGTGATGCATTTATGCTAAAACGTCGAGGGCAAGGCTAATGCACTCACAAAATCAAAGGATTTCTATCTCCTGAATTCCCGCTACCTCAAACCTCCGAAAAAAGGACTGAGTGAGAAAGAGAGTACCACCGTGAACTACCATAATTTTCTCTTCATTCCTCTGGTTTGGTACCCAATTCACCAGGTTCTCATTATTTACCGGACCGTTTTCACTCGGTATCTGTGACAACATGGAAGTGAGTTATGGTAGAAATTAGTGGCTCTATTTGTGTCATGTCAAATTTCCTTTCATCAGTAACTGGTGCAATATGTGTGTACCATTATAAAGAAGTCCATAATGAGCCAAGTATGTATTTTTTAATCTGATCAATTTGTCGCATGTTGACAACAGAACCTGCCTGAGGTGATACAGCAAAAAATGCTCCATGGTATCTGTAACCAATAGAACTGGGACGTAACTACGGAAAAATTTAGCTCGGTAACCTTAGTGCACTAAATAATTCCCACGCAGCGCTGAAGTTCAACGCGGTTTCTATCGAGTCATAATCCCATTAAAGATGGGAGGGGGCAGGAAGCCGTAGTTTGTAACTCAAAATATGCAAGTGAAGTTGAGCGAATAAATGGAGAGTAAATTCAGTCTGTTCAGCTGGGTAGCACATATCCGTTCAGCCTGTCATATATCGATCGTACTTCTCCACGAGTTGAACATTTCTCGCTGTTGGTCATATTCAATAAAGTCGAAACAAACGTACAGTGCTCCTATAATGTGCATTTAATTTTTGCGTTTTTTCGTGAACTAAAATTTCGGTTGGATATTATAGTCAATTATGCAATCAAAAAACAAACAAGTTTTTGATCTTCGCTTCACCTTGCACAGAAAAGCTGAACAAAATATGAATACTATACGAGAGTTGGATCGTGATACACGCGGAAAATGCATTCACGTGTGCAGCTTTAACCGGAGAGGTGAAAACCTGAGTTGACTGTTAACCTCTGAAAGAACCGAACACCGTTGAAATTGAACAGGAACAGAATTTGGTTAGCATGAATTTGGTACGCTGGCTCAACTACGCAACAAACGGGCCGCCTTCTTTTCGGACACCTGAGGGGAGTGCTCTGAGTTCAACTGGTCAGTGGTAAATAGTTTTTTCAGTGATTTTTCTTCCCCCTCCCAACCGGGTCAAAGTTTTCCCATTTTTGTTTGAATGTCCCCTAGATGTGGTATTTTCTTTTTACGAGGAAAATAAATCTCGAGATGTGTAATCACTTGAAAACATTTTGCTGTAAACTATATGCTTCAGAACTATCTTCGTGTAAGTCAAGGGGACTAAAATTTCAAACAGCGTGTCTTATAGTGGTAGGGAAAAAAATATAATTTCCCAGAACTTTCTATCTGAAACAAAATGAGACCTAATCCAATGTTCTCGATGTATTACTCTGAAGAGTTTAAAAAAATTATCCTATGGGCTAACTTATTCCAAATGAGGGGCTGATAATCAATCACTGTGGCACAATCTTACACTTCACTCACCTTTTTGGGTGACCAGTAGGCATGTTTCTCTCAATTTGGCATCCGCTTCAACACCGGGTGGTGAGACAGATACTCCGTGTAATGCCTGTACTGCTGCCGGCGGTGGTGTTTCCGGTCCGGACGAAGCTGATCCCTGTATCTCCGCGGACATCATTCTTGTTTGAGTCCACTCGGGATCACAGGAACTATCCTCAGAATTCGTGAAACCCAAGATATGATTTTGTGTTGCGCAAATTAAAAGTGGAATAGAGTCTTCTTGTTCACAATTCTCAGGCCCCAAATCTTTGTTCAAAGATAACCGAACCAAACGCTAAAATCGTAAATAGTCATTTTACTTAAGTGATTACGGAGTGGTGCTGGATCACTACGTTATAAATTATATACATTTGGTTAATATTTTTTTCAAATCCCCAAAATAGAGCATCATAGTTGCATTGCACGAAGAAAAAACTTTGTATAAAAGTGGCTTTCGTTCAACAGCACAATCAAAGTCTGAGTTTTACAAATAAGCTGTTGCTTTTCTTGTTCCATGAGATATGGAGCACAAGAAATTGTGCCGGCCAATCAACGAGAGGTGAAGAATATCTGATTATTTTATGTGCTTCTATGGAAGTCAAAATTTAACTCATCTATTTTGTGCCTGGAAGAATTTATTGTGGGCACAGAAACAACGTGAAATAGTAGGGAATTCCAAATATCACATACTCTGAGGGTGAATGAATGAAGTCGGAATTCTAGTCGACTTCTTTCGAGCACTCACTTGAATTAGTGTTCTCTGAAGTGGATGTTGGACGACAGAGGAAGTAGTGGATGGCATAAAAGATCTGGGTTTTACAATATTCGATAACCGAAATCAATTTCCTTTGAATACCACGGTATTAGTTAGAGTACAACCTCCAGGAGTTTAGTCTTTTCAGATAATTCTCAAAATTCAGTCCCATGGCCATCTGGGTGGATATTTTTTGTAGACATTCCAAACCCTTACTGGTGCACTGCAGCCATGGATTACAGGCTTAAATGGCACACCCAATGTGGGGTAAAATGTAGGCTGATAACATACATGGGCACAACATAGAATCAAATTTGCCGGAAAATTGCTCCAGCAAACTGACGTGCTATGTATTTGAGGACGACGCTTTGGAGTAATTGATCAAACATCTAGGTCATCTGGAATGATGACATCAAGATTANTTTTTCAGGAAAGAACGGAAACCGGGTCTAATGGCGAAGGGATATGACCGTAAATTTCGGTGCGTTCAATTCGATGTCATTTTCGTTAGACCATGGATAAGCTGCATTGAGAGTCTTCTGAAGCGGTAGTAAGTGTTCATGTTTCGTCGCTGTATGTCAGATCTTTGTATCCTCTGCAAACAATGATGTTTTTGTCCAATAACGACCAGTAGAGTGTGTATAGATACTAGAAAAACGTGAGAACCAAGCACGAATCTCTGCTTACATTAACAAGACCAGATAGTGACCCAGGAACCCGAAATGTCTTCATTCGTTTCCCAGAATACCCCTTCTATCCAAACCCGCATGATTCCTTAGATCCCATAGTTGTGCAGTTTCCTCAGTTGTATTTTGGGATTCGCACAACCAAATGCTTTGGAACAGTCAAGGTAAACTGTCCACCGCTCCACCATGGGCAACTGCTTTTACCCATTCCTCTAGAGCCACAACCAAATGAGTGGTACACGAACGCTTGTGCCGAAACCCATGCCGGCATGGGGATAGTGCATTGCGTCTTTCCGAATGAACGATCACAATGTCTGCAATAATCGATCCCATAACTTTTGGCCGTACGGGAAGGATAGTTACGGGAGAGTAGTTAGCCACCTTTGTATGTGGAGGAAATTATTTCTTGTTTCTACACAGTGTTATCAAACATGTTGAAATAATTCACTTACTGATTCACTTTTGTTACTTGCCAGGAAGTTAAGAATTTGTGGACGGGTGTTTTCTATCCCTGGAGATGATTAATTTTCGAATACCCTTCTTTCTGTTTGGTGTTTTCTGTCTCTCAATAGACATTTCTCGGAAAAAACGCTATTTCCTAACTTTCACATAATGTGATCAAATGTTTGCGGTAATGAAGAATAACTAAACTGCAAAACTGCATTGTAGTGTGATGAGAAGTCTATCATAATCAATGACTAACTAGAGACTTGTTCACATCACACCCCTTGAGATCGTTTTACACAAAGTAACACCTAAGGCAGCTACCCAAGTGACTATGAAATTTCCCTGATTCACCGAACAGTCATGTTATTTTCCATTCTAGAATGCAATGGCGTTTGGTGTTTTCCAATTTGCTCAGTTATTTTTAATGGAATCAACCATTTGGAGGGAGAAAACTGACGCTGTTATGCTGCATAACTGCGATAATAAACTGTATAGAAACACGCGTAGTCCGATAAACGATGCGACCTATCAATGTCTATGGTTTGTGTCAGCTTTGACTACTGATGTGTTGATGGGTATGTCATTTTCGCAAATGTCAGCTGCTCAGTCCGAGACGAAATCCCACTGGTATAATGAACACTAAAAGTAGTGAATGCTCTATGCGGATCTGCTGTTTTCCCCTCATACGTCTTGGTCCGTCATTCGCATGCCTGATTGATTGGCTTGCTTGTCTCACCATTCATCAAACATGAGGAGGATAAACGTTGCCTGGATCACAAAGGAGTAACTAAACAATGTTTAAAGTACTCGCTGCACAACCGTTCTCATCTTTTCTGGGAACTATCACTTCGGGATATCCATCGGGTCTATGATAGACGGCGTTTCACACACACACACACACACACACACACACACACACACACACACACACACACACACATCGGCGTGAAATGTACGATCAAAATTTCTCCGCTTTTGTGGATTGTAATAAATCTAAAGTAATAAAGATGGTGTAGACAAAAATTAACTGGACAGGTTTCTTAAAATCATTTCTTATGATTTTCAGTCAAAAAATGGAGTATGTCAGTGAGTGAAAATATCAAATGAGGAGTAATCACAGTCGTCAAGATTGACAGGACTTGAAAAGAAAGCTATTTTCAGTGTTGAATTAATGATTTTTCCTTACATTGTTTACTTCTCGCCTGATTGTTTCATTACAAATGTAAGATTGCTGAACAGTACTTACTTGAATAGGAATGAAATGAAACTTTTTCCAGTGAAAATACCACGAGGTTTATTGTATTAAATTATAATAAAACACAGAGTGGTGAACAGGCTCCTTTGTAGTGATTCTTCTACAGGCTAATACATCACAATTTATATTAAACTGTTTAGAAGGGAGGGGGGGAGAAATTATGACAAGTTGGAATATTAGTTGTAGTGGTAGTGTCCACCTTGAACCAGTTTATACAATTTATGATGAAGGATAAACAATCGTAACTTTTGATTACGAACTTGATTAAAATAGAAACTGCTGACTAAAAGGATGTCCGTTCTGGTCGAAAAAATTATTCACCTTTGAGGGGACATTATACATAGTACTATAATAGTCACCAAAGAATTTTAAAGTCTAAGGATTATATTGCCTTTATATTTATTTTTCTATCCCATCTTTCAAATGTATTTATTTATCCTACAATGATCACCAATTCTTAGGGACTGCGCAGCTGTTGATGATGACTTTAACGAACCATTGGTCCACGGGGGGCAGAATACTTGTTCAGTACGTTGAAATTATCTCCATGATATTTTAGTTCAACAAGTTTGAATAAATACCTTCCAATAAAATATAAACAAGGGCCTACCAGGGCCATACAAAAGCATCAATTCAATGTTAATAAAAGCAGCAGGAGAATGAAAAATAAAACAGTTTTGCATGTAATGAAAATAATAATATTAATAATAATAGTATTTCCTGACCATGGCGAAATTCGATATACCGAAATATCCCCATGCAATAGTCGTTTATTTTAGTGATGATCAGTACCTGTTGCAGAAAAATGTCACAACACTGCATGGCAATTAGCTAGTGCATTTTGCATTTGTAAAAGAGAAATAAAAATTCTGCTTACAGTGGAACGATAATAAACGAATGTATTTCTAAATCGAGAAAAAAATTAGGCAAAATGGGAATCTGCTATTCCCAAAATCACTATAGAAATTAACTCACTGGTTATCAGAGGACGGATACAAACCACTCACACACACGCTTACGCCAAACCAAAAATCGAATCGAACTATCCGGGCTTGGGCGATGGAAGTGGTCGGTCTCTTGTGCCTAGCCTTCGAACAGTTAGGGCATGTGATTTAGCTTTCTGGCGCGTCCGTGCCGTTCAAGCTCTACTCATTGATTGGTGTGTTTATCCTCAACCCGAGCAGTCGAACGAAAATCAACCAATCAGGCACTTTGACCTGATTGGGAGAAGAGGGGGAACTGAGAAACGTTCGGCCGAATTCCCGAATAATTCGATCGGACCATACCCTGCCTCCTCTGACTACCTCGTTGCCCACTAAACGCAATTTCCTGCTGTCAGTTGGGCATGTGATGAGGACACACAGAACCAAAATTGTTCACTCACTCACTCATTCACCCATCCAAGCACTCACTCACGGAAGCAGCACTACACGGTTAAGACGACACAAACAGAGAGGGGGTAAACAAAGAACGCTCGAGTTGTTGTCCTGATGGCTATTTGAAGGGAGAGAAAATTGTTCCGGATCGATCGTCCCCGGCAGAATCGCTTCCTTTTTGGAACTGTCCAAAAGCACAGCACCAGCAGCAGCGGTGGCTGATTATCGTCCTTTTAGCAATTTCCCCATCCTAGTACAATTACGCACACAGATTTATCTAGGCAGCGAGGCAATGGGGTAGGCTGATATATTTCAATCTGTACGATATCACAGATAACCTGATCTAAGAGGGCCATTAGGAGCCAGGCCAAACATCATTTGGTCACGCGCGTGCGCGTGCGTGCACCCCACTCCACCCCATGAACAAATAGACAAATGGAAGACCTCTCCCTCCACATGCACTTCAACAAACCATGTCTAATAGATGAGTTGCGTCCTAACCGTTCCATTTGCCGAATCATCGCAAATGATGGGTCAACTTAGGAGTAGGATTGGCGTGAGAACATGTGGCATAATATGGCCAGGATATGCTTTAGTTTGGTAAAACCTACGGCGGGTAGAAAAACTGGTCTAAACAGCATACTATTGATTCTCCATGCCAAATGAATGCATTTTCAATAAAGTCAGACAGATTATATTTCACTGATACATAAAGTGAGATCTAAAAGAGAATATGAGGACTATTTTTAATAGCTATATGAAATTGCTCCTCAGTGA